TTTATAATTTTAATATTCTTGTTTCATAAATTTCCAAATAAATACATTATTATTATCTTTTCACTTGCTTTCTTAACGATTTCTCTATTATATAGTTATTTATGTAAGATTTAAAATTTATTATTATTATATATATTATTATATGTGGTATATGGTACTAATAATAATTTTATATTTTCATTATTGTTATTATTTAAAAAAAAGAGATTGAATGTAATGATCAGTTGGCTTTGAAATCAGTTCAAACTGCATCACTCGGGCAATACGACGTAGGATAGCGAGCACGAGCACTGAGCGAGCACGAATACGGAACGAGCCCTCGAATGTCTGCCGTGAGACATGTTCGATGGCCAAAATTTTGTTGATTCAGTCGACGAATTCTGTTCAAACGCGGCGCACGCTTCGAGCGGACGAAGCAGCTTCTGGCACACACTCGAAGTAGGCAACAGCAGTTGTGTCTTTGACGGGGCACGGGGAAGTGTTAACACGAATCAAGCAGACTGAGCAGGACTAAGAACTGGCCAATTGGTGTACCACAATGTGTTATGTTCAGCAATGGAAAAACATGCTTAAATGGCGCCCTTCATGCAACATCAAAATTACAAAAGCAAAATAATGAAAGAACCATGGCGCGCATTCGTTCGTTTAATTAAAAATAATTTGTTAATTGGCTGCAGCAGCAGCAGCAGCAGCGGACAGCAGTGGACAGCAGTAGATAGCAGTTGAATGCGTGGCGTGGTGTGGCGTGGTGATTCTTCTAGGCAAAAATTTAACAACACCTGCCCCACTTTCCGCATCAAACGAATCGAATCAAAGCCCCAAAGTATGCAGCCAAAATCCGAGCACACAAAGTTGCTGCTGCTGCTGCTGCTGCTGCTGCTCTCCAAAATAGTATTCCTCCAAATTGAGTTAAATTTTGTGGAAATAGTTAACGCTTCAGCTTAAGGTCTCGGCCCACCATCAAGCAGCCCCAACCTCGAGCACACGTAAAAGTTCCAACAACTTTCGGTTACAACTAAAGCAATTCGAAAGCAATTTTTGTGTGGGAATTTCTTTTGGAACGCGGCCTAGTTGCTCGTGAGCTGAGCATAAATACGACAGCATCTGGCCACCTCGAGTGGTAACATTAGATTTGCGTCTGCACACTCACTCCCACTCCCACTCCCCATTTCCCGTTTTCCATTCCCCATTTATACCCAATTGCTTGTCATTTAATATCAAACTTTTGTGATGGAAGCATGCTAAATGATTGCATTTAACATATACAGAGAAAAAGAGTTCAACTTTGGCATTCAACTGTGGGAGGAATACGCTGCAGGAGGCGGATGTATCATGAGAGATATATCAACAGACGCAATGTGCTTTAGACTTTAAATAAGACTTTATTCACTCTGCACAAGCATAGAGCTTAATATATATAGTG